GTTTGGTAACTTGAGATGAGAATTAGCCATTATTATTATTATTATTTTTGCTTAAGATGTGAGGTTCAATTTTATTTATGTTTTGTTATGTATTCAAATATTTATTTATTTATTTCTATCATAATATATGTTATTATACATTTTCTACTCATGCTTAAGGAAACAAATCTCAAGAAATGAGAAAATGCACTTACATAAGGTTTTGGTTGTATGAACATAAACTTTGCACTAAGAAAAGAATAATTTCCACCTCTCATGGGGATAAGGTCCTTAATTAGTATAATTGATTTTGAGAGATAATTTTTTTTTGAAATTGTATAAGTATAATGGTCATGAAGCACTACATTTGAGAAGCCTTTAGGGGCAAATAATCTAAAAAGATTACTAAGGCTAATGGTTTCCTTGACAAAATTGAGAAATGATTTCTCAAAAACAATAAGGTTTCAATGGGATTATTTGTTTTTCTGATATGTTTCAAATTACTTCAAGACTTAAGACACTTAAAATCGAGTTTTTCTGAAGAATTATTTGTTTTTGTGATTTTAGTATCACATCCTATAGAGTTTAATCAACTAAAAGGGAGAAATGAACTCTAAATGAGCTCATTTTTCATTGTGTGCGAGAGGAAGAAAGGTTGAAGCATAATAAGTTTGAAAGTTCTAACTTGAAAAGTGCATATAAAGATAAGGGCAAAAAATGTAATTGTTAATGGTATAACTCAAAAGAGACAACAATATATTAAAAATGGTTGTTCTCTTTTAAGATAAGTTAGGACATATGAGGAGAAATTAAATTCTAAAACAGTAAGCAACTACTTTGGTTATTCTGCGTGATTTAAGGGTTATAAGTTTTGTGATCTCATAATTAGGAATATTTTTAATATGAGATCTATAACATTATTTTTAATGATGTTGAGCTTGAGGGATAAATAAGTTTAAGATTTTTTTTTGATGATATCCATGTGTTCATACATGTTGCTAATCAAGAAGGAAATCTAAAATCTCAATAAGATAACATTGAACAACTTTCCATTTAAGATGAGAAATTGTTACGGAAGAACAAACACAATAATCTCAAAGAACAAGTGTCATTAAGAAGATCCATGAGATGAAAGAAACGCTATTTAGATTATTATGTTATATTTCTTAAAGAAATAAGGATGGCAGTGAAATGATGAAAGATGATCTAATCAACGTTTTTAGGTCATTAAAGTTCTAACTCTCAAAAGTGTGTAACACCTCAAATTCTAGGCTAGTAGTTTCGGGTTTACCCAAGAGGCATGTGGACCTTGTGGATTTAATAATTTTAGTCGTTGGACTTAATTGGGATAGAATTGGGCATGATTAGCCCTAAAATGAGATTTTTGAATAGTAGAAATATGAGGAAAGACCAAATGTGCAATTTTACCTTTTTAAAAAGATTGGGGGTTTTATATCTCATTTCATCTTCTTCTCTTCATTTTATCCTTCTGATTTCCTTCTTTCATTTTTCTCTCCAAGTGTCTGGCTCAAAGGTAAGATCTTGAAAAGCCTTTTATACTTATTTTAATCTTCAATTTGGTTCTCAATCCCTCCAAAAAACTTATTTTGATGTTTCAAAGCTTTGTGTTTTTATAGCTAAAGGGAAAGTGGGAGTTTTCATACAAATCTTAGAGGAATGGAGTGTGGCTAAGCAAAGAGCTTCATTCGGGATCCTAGCACTAAGGTAGTGTATTTCTAATCCTTCGTAGTGTTAAGGCTTATATAAGCATAAAGAATTCATAAGATTTATGTATTTGAGCAATTTAGGGTTTATGTTTTATTTCATAATTAAATAACATTTTAGATGTAAAATATGTGTTTTTATGACACTTTATAACCCTAAGTTACTTCTTGACACTATGAATTTAGGGTTAAAAGTTTCGAGCTAACCTGATACAGCCTTGGATTCAACCCATTAGCTTGTAGTAAACTTGGCACAAGTTAGAGTGGATTTGGGCTTGGTTTGGGCCCAACATGAGTTAAAAATGGTGTTTTTAATTTGTGACTAAAATTTAAAAGACTAATAGAGCTATTATACCAAAAATTCTTACAAATGTTGAAAACCCATTAATTTGGGTAATCTCACATCTGGCACTCTCTCTTTTTCTCAACTCTTCTTTGTCTCTTATTCTCCTTCTTTTATCCTTCATTATTCCACCTATAAAAAGAAACAAAGCTGCCAACTTTTCTTGGCAATCATTCCATTTTTTATATTTCAAGGTAAGGAATAAAACCTCCATTTTTAAGCTTTCATTCAAGCCCTCTCTTAGAAGGTTGGATCATGGTATCCAAAATGTGAGTTTAGTCACAAAGAAACAAAGCTGCCAACTTTGCTTGGCAATCATTCCATTTTTTAGATTTCAAGGTAAGGAATAAAACCTCCGTCTTCTAAGCTTTCATTCAAGCCCTCTCTTGGAAGATTTGATCATAGTATCTTTCAGCCTTCCACCTATAAAAAGTAACAAAGCATCTCATTTTTTTAGTATTTCAAGCCTTAGGAATGGTTTATAATCTCTTTGTAACCTTTAGGTCAATTTATGAACTCAAGTGTTTGAGTCAAGTAAGGAAAGTTAGAGAAAGCTCCAAAGTTAGAGAAAGCTCCAAAGTTAAAGAGAAAGAAAAGCTAACACTTGGTTTAGCCTTGGATACTTCCAGCAGCTTAGGAAATCAAGGTAACTCACTTTTAACTCAACTTTACTACATTGTAGATCACTAGGTGAGTTTGTTAGTTTGTATGAGTTATGAAGCTTGTTCATGGTAGATTTCAGTGTTTGGGTGTTTTCAACATGTTTATATACTTATTATAACCCCTATTATTAGACATACACTATAAGAAATTTCTACTATTTTGACAAATTTAATTTTGTAAAAATTAATTGTCACTATTTGTAACTTTTTGGTGACAAAATAAATAATTGTCACATTAGATTTTAAAATATATACAATTATGAAAAAAAGTTAAAATCGTCATAATAATTTTTCACAATTAACGAACATGTGTAACATATGGTGACAAAATAGATTTTATTATGAATTTTTGTCACAAATGTTTCCCTCCAATTTTTTGGCGCCAAATTAAAGGTATATAGTGACAACTTTTGTAACTAAAAGTTTTACTAACTATGACAGAAAAAATTATCACAATAAATAATGAGATTTAGATTTGTTGTGACAAATTTTGTTTGTAATTATATATTTTAATTATAGTGACAAAATGTATAGTCACAAATGATTATCTCCAATTTTTTGTACAAAAACAAAATCATATAGTGATATGTTTTGTAACTATAAGCTATAATTATTATTACAAAAAAAATTGTTACAACAAATAATGAGATTCTAGTTTTTAGCAAAAAACAGTGTTTGTCGTTATTGTTTTAATTATAGTGATAAAATATATTGTCACAAAGATTTCTCTCCATATTTTTTTACTCAAAAACAAGTCATATGGTGACAAATTTTGTAACTATAAATGTTAATAATTATTACAAAAAAAATTGTCATAAAAAATAATTATATTCACATTTTTGTGACAAATTATATTTGTAGTTATAAATTTTAACTATAGTGATAGCATATATTGTCATAAATATTTTTCTCCACTTTTTTGTTTCAAAAGTTATATTGACAATTTTATAATTATATTTATAGTTATTTATATAGAAAAAATATTACATCAAATAATAAAATTAAAGTTTTTTGTAATAAATTATTTTTACTTATATATTTTAATAATTATGAAAAATTATACTATTATAATCATTTCTTCCTATTTTTTAAGGTCAAAAATGTTATATAGTAACAAAATATAATGTCATAAAAAATTTCCTCCCTATTTTTTACGCCAAAAAAATCATATAGTAACAATTTTTGTAACTATAAGTATTTATAATTATTACAAAAAAAAATTGTCACAAAAAATAATGGTATTCACATTTTTGTGACAAATTATACTTGTAGTTCTAAATTTTAATTATAGTGATGACATATATTGTGATAAATATTTTTCTCCACTTTTTTTTTGTTTCAAAAAGTGATATTGATAAGTTTTGTAATTATAATTTATAGTTATTGTTATAGAAAAAAGTATCACATCAGATAATAAAATTTAAGTTTTTTGTAATCAATTATTTTTGTTGTTATATATTTTAATCATTATGAAAAATTATACTATCAGAATCATTTCTCCCTATTTTTTGGTGCAAAAATGTTATATAATAAAAGTTTTATAGTTATTGTTATAGAAAAATTAAAATAATAAAAAATTTATTTTTTAATTAATAATTGATTTTAGGTTTTTTTATGAAAAATATGCTTGTAGTTATACATTTTGATTATAATGAGAAAATATAATTATTATTATAAAAACAAAAAGTTCAAAAAAAATCAAATTTCTATGATATATATAATACAATGGCATTTTCAAATAAAATATAATAATAAAATATATTATCAAAATGTTTTCATTTATTTTTTACGAAGCTAGTTTAAAACTTTTTTCTTAATTATAATTATGTAAATAATTTAATTAGGTAAAGAATTTGAATAAATCAATATGCATAATTGAATAAATTAAAAGTAATTTCATTTAGAAGCATACAAGCAATCGTAATTAATTCAACTAAATAATATATTTTAATAAAATAATTTTCTCACGTAAAATTATAAGTAATCCTCCTCATTCTCTTCGTCTTCATATTGGTCGTCCATATCTTCACACCATAACTGTTATTATCACTATCATCATCTAACTCAATGATCATTAATTTTTTAATAAAAAATAATTTTAAAATATATGAATAATAAAATAATTATGTCATAATTTCTAAAAATCGAAAAACTCAATAAAATAATATTTTACCATTATAAAAATATTTTATAATTTTTAACCGTAAGAAGAATTGCAGCATATTGTATAATCGAGTCCTTTTGTATACTTTAACGCAAACAAAACCCTAGAAAATAAACAAAGAACAACTCACAAAACGAAAGCAATATATCTTCCGCCCCCTAATTCTCTCTCTTTGGACTATATTTTTCTTTGTTTAAAATCTAGTCATTTACACGTTGAGAATCGACTTCAGTTCTCAGGTAAAACCCCATTATCTTTTCGGCCATTGTTTTCCCTCTGATTGTTCTGCTTTATTTTTCATTTTTTTTACTTCTAGACGCTCTTTGGGGTAGATCTACGTTTTCTCGTTGCTTTTAATTATCTTTTTAATTTCGTTCTGGCTTAATTTATGGGGTTTTCCATTTGACTTGAACATCATTGTGATTGATGTGAGGAATTATAGTTTATTTATTTAATCTAATGTTTGTGTGTGTTTCTGTTAATTTTTGGAGATAATTTACATGTATGTTGTTTAAATTTGTGGGGTTTTATTTGTTTTTTTATTTATTCTTTCACGTGATTGGACCTTTTTAATTATGGGTTTCTCTTGATTATCTGTTGAATTAGTTTCGGATGGGTGATATGCAGTGGGGTTTTAATTTCTTGTAGCTGAAATGAATGGGTTATTTATCTCTAAATTTGCTTTTTTGAAAAGCTGAGCTATGCAGTGCTAAGGATTTGGGCAAACTTTTCCTTTCAACGTGTTTTTCTATTTGTTTTTCATTTTATTGAAAATTTTCTGAGAAGTAAGATCTTATTTTCTAAAAGATGAACCAATGTATGCAATCTTGTGCTTATTGAAGCACAAATTTTATGTGTGAAAGTAATTTTGTACATTTTGGTGTTCATTAAGGTGAAAACTTTTAACTTTCCAAAAATATGTTTTTGTTTATCTAGACACCTCTTTTGTTCTTTTTATTTGTATAAGCAAGAAGTAGTAAAACCAACAATCAAATGGAAAATTTATTGTTATTTGAATTATGCTTTGATGATTGTAAAAATGAAAATATGCCTACCTTACCTTTTGATTTGGTCTGTTGTTTAGCTTTTGTGCTAGTACTTTACATTTTGGGTGGTTTGATCCTCAAGATTGGTTCAGTTTGTAAATCTTTGAAAAGTTTTATAATTGTCAGGAAACATTTGCTGATAATAATGGCGGGTCAAAGGAATAGCCATGGGAAGTAAACTAATTCTATTTTTCTGAGAATGGATCAAATAAGAGGAGAAATACAAGTGACGACAAGGAACAGTTTGCTATTGTTTCAGATGATACCCTATATCGATATTTGTGCCCTACAAGAAAGATAATTTATGATAATTTATTTTGTCACAATATTTTGTCAAAATAAAAAATTATGACAAAGTTATTTAACCAAGATAATAATTTATAACAAATATTAATTTCTCATCATAAAAAATTGTGACAAGTAATACTCTTTCACAACAACAAATTGTAACAAAATGATTTAGTCACAATAACACGTTAAATTTAATCAAAGTAAAAAGTTATGTCAAATTTATTAATTTTCAATATTTTGTCAAAATAAAAAATTGTGACAAATTTATTTAATCAAAATAACAATCTATAACAAATATTATTTTCTCATTATAAAAAATTGTGACAAATAATATTTTTTCACAATAACAAATTGTAACAAAATTATTTAGTCACAGTAAAAGGTTATAAAAAATATTTAGTGTCGAAATAAAAATAGTGAGAAAATAAATTTTGTTGTAATATGTCTTTTTGTCATGAAAACTTTTTTTGTTTGATGTTATAATTTAACTTAATTGTGACGAAATTTACTTTTTGTGATAAAATAATTATTTTATTTTAACAAATATTTTGTCTCTGTAAGTCATTTAGTGACGAAATAACAACTATGGCAAAATAATTTTTGTTGTCTTATGTATTTTCGTCACAAAATCCCTTTATATTTGATGTTTAAATATAAGTTAGTTATGACAAAATGTACTTCTCGTGATGAAATGGTTAATTGATTGTGACAAATATTTTATTGTGATAAGTTAATTATAATAACGAAATTTCATTGTTACAATAAATACTATACAATGGTAACGAACACAATTTTGTCACAATATATTTTACATGACAAGGTTGTTCTAACAAACATGATAACAAATAAAATTGGTCAGAATAAATATATTGTGACAAATTTAGTACTTGTAGTGATAAATAATATTGTTGAAACAATCGAAATTTCTTGTAGTGATAACACTCTAATAATAATTGAGGACCTCAATAGGATGCTTGGAGTGTGTGAAAGGCATTTTTGTGCCAAAACAGGGTATTTCTGGGTGTGAGTATTGGTACTGGGAACATTACGTATATTGTTCTTCATATGCTAAAACAAAGGGGGTTTTGGGTTAGAAGTATCGATACTCATGCAATGGGTATCGATACTATAAGTAAGGTATCGATACTCTCAGGGTGGTATCAATACCAAGTTCACTCATCAGATTCCAATAGCCATTTTTGGTATCGATATTTTATAGGAGTATCGATACCAAGGGTATAATATCGATACTCTTTAACAGGGGTATCGATACTTCGATATTTTTTAAAACATCGAGGCCAAATCCAATATCAGTACTTAGAAAAGTATCTATACCATAGAACAGAAGTATCAATACTCAAGCTAGAGTATCGATACCAGCCTTTTTGTTATCATCCATCAATAAGTCAGTAGTATCGATACCCAGAGGTTAGTACAGATACTGAGGGGCTTAGTATCGCTACCTACGAACAATTTTGGGTAAGAAACCCAAGAGTTTTAAGGGATATAATTGAAGGACCCAATAATATCTGAACGTCATGAAATAAAACTACAAGTAATAAATAGTAATGAACTCAAAACGGTTAGAAATAATAACAACCAAAATGACATAAAACTATCCTTGATGGATACTTGGGACACAATTAGGACACTTGAGTTGCTTTAGCAGATTACGATCGTACAGATAGATATCCTAGTCAGTGCCAAGGCACTCCAACTGCCAACTGGGTGCAGATGCCCTATGACTCGATGGAGTAAGTTGGTCGTGTATACATTTCTGATACAGTTCCAAATCTCACCCCATATACCCAAGGGTATATAGGAAGGCTAGAGGGGTATGTGAGCTCCGAGATGCAGAACCCTTAACCACACCATGATGTCTATGTCAGCATGTCATATCAGTATTTCCTTATGCTTTCATAACTATGCCTCTAGCATGCACATTTAGTGAATGCATGTAGTATAGTTATTAGTAAGGCATTGAGCTCGTAAGCTCAGCATTCAGAATGTGTTTCCATGTGTAGGTTCTTAAGAGGTCATCCGTGGAGCATTATTATCATTAAATATTACAGCACAATTGAGCCATCAAAGTATGTATTGATTTGTATTAAAGGGCATGTACTATTGTAGACCCTATTATTTAGTCATAAATATATTTTATCTTAAACATAGTGTACTATTTTGAATTTTTTGGGAGTACCCCAACGTTGTAAAATATAGATTTATTATGCTTTTATTTTATATCACTTGAATGGTTATTTTATAAATGTTTTATCGTTGTTTAAAAAAATTTGGGTTAGCCATTTCAGTTGTCCCATGTGACATCATAGTCCATTAATCTTCGGGTCGGACTAGATTAGGGTGTTACATTTAGTAGTATAGGTTTAATCGCTCCTAAGACCCGCTGGTAAGATTCAACCAGTGTCTATACATGTACATGCCTCTAGAGAGTTAATGATACTATAAAGACTGGAATGACAATAATAATCTCCCTTCCTTTCTAATTTCAAAGAAAACCTATGGCAGACGATCCAGCATACATTTATGATGGTAGGGACGAGAGTCATTCATCCCTAGTAGCCGATACCAATGACGAGTTAATCCCAAATACGTATCAACATGATATACCAATAGATATGGGAGTCGAGGAGGCGACCTTCTTTAGAAACCTAACCTCAACGCTCAGATAGATAGTTAGAACCATACCCAGCGCCTCAATTGTACTACCTCCCCCACCAACACCCCTAGCCCATCCTGTAGTAGTGCACTAGGAGCCCTGAGTATAGAGACTCCATAGATACAAGACCACTGATTCTATGGTTTAGGGGATGATGATGTTATAGTAGTAGACCAATGACTCTAGGAGACTCTCTACACCCTCTAATAGTTGCACCTTACCCTAGAGGGTAAAATTGAGTGCATCACTACCCTGCTCAATAAGGATGAAATCAACTGGTGGGAGATGATAGAGTTGGCTATGGAGCCAGAGACACCGTCATAAGAGCAGTTTATATCTAAGTTCAGACAGAAATACATAGGAGATGCCCATACCGATGATATGAGGGAGTAATTTCTACATCTAGCTCATGGAGATCGTACCATGATGGAGTATGAGAGGGAGTTCCTCATACTGAGTAGGTACACACCAAAGTTGGTCTTGACAGAGGAGCACTGTTATCGTAGGTTCATAGAGGGCCTACACCTTGACATCCTGTTATACCTTGCAGCCGACCCTCCCAAGGTCTTTGCTAAGTTATCCTTCCAGGAAAATACAGTCGAGATGGTCCTAAGTAGGGAGCTCGATAGTCGAGTGAGGTTGTAGGACAGTCTAAGAGAGATACTGAGTTAGTGAGGTAATCGTAAACTTCATCTAAGAGAGTTGAAGATAATTAGGGTTCATAAAAACCCCCAACATTACAGCCGATGAGAGTGATGCCGAGTTCAGACCGTGGAGGTAGGTCCAAGTCTATGAGGAGACCCCTAAAGTTAGTCTCTAGAGTGAGCACTAGTGATTCGGTGAGAGTCTTTACTCATCCAATATACGCTCAGTACGAGAGGAGACACTCGAGGACATACTAGTAGATCTATCTTAGTCAGTGGGAAAGAGGGCTAGAGGCATGCATGAACATAGGAGAGTGACGTCATCTTTTCCACTCCAGTCGAATCAGGAGTCAAACATAGGGTCTCGTAGACCACCGGTTTCACCGTCTGTGGAAAGCTCTAGAGACTCTGATAGAGTTTTAAGGTATCAAAGTACGAGCATTGTGGTAAAAAATATCGAGGAATATGCTTTAAACTTTATAAGAAGTACTATAGATGTGGATCTTTAGCACATATGGTAAGGGATTGCCCTAGCTCGGATGATGATGTTTCAGCTCGATTGAGGGAGGCGATCCCTAGAGGTATGGTAGAGAGCCTACTCAGAGAGGTGTTAGTTCTATGCTCGGGTATAAGGGTAAAGGAATAGATCGACCAGTTCCCAATTTGATTATGCACGATCTAACTTGTTAGCTCACAAAGAGGCAGGTCAGGACGTTGATGTTGCAAATATGATACCATGTATTTTTTTTAGTTATCTCAGTTTATCATGTTGCACTAGTAGGAGTAAGTTCATACATTCTTTGGTGGTATCAAGGGAACTAGGTAGGAAAAGTATTCGTGTAGAGGATCTAGGCGTGACTGTCCAAGTGCCTAGTTGGTGGGCCTTGGCAGAATACCTTAGAAATTCTTTTAAGGTTTGGGTGAGACTCGATAGTTGACCTAAAAGAAGTTGTTAGCACAATTATTGCTTTAACCTCAGGATTGCAGGTATAAAGATAAAAGAATAAGTGGTTGTTCTTTATTGAGTTGAAGGTCAACTCTAAGAAAATATTGAGTCGTAAAATCCTTCACCCTTGTGTGTTCCCTAGGGGTATATTCGTGTGGGTTGTCAAGTTAGATATGAGACTTTAAGGATTTTTACATTGTCGGTACAAGGTTCATGTGACCGACCCGTAGAGATTTAGTAATCCTAAGTTTAACATTGAAGATAAGGATCTTCATGAGAATGTTAAGAATACCCAAGTTGCTCTAACTAGTATGTCAATCACCTTGTTGTTAGAAACATCAAGATATATCTCAACTAGTGACAGGGCACTTCAGTTGCTAACTGGGGATAGATGCCCCAAGTACTAGCGAGGAGTAAGCTAGTCAGGTGTACATTCTGATGTAGCAGTTTTAGAATTTCATCCTAGGCACTAAGGGTATTATAGGTATGATAGTGAGTTATGAGTCTCGAGGTGTAGTGAACCCTCTGACGTCACCATAATGTCTTCTTATATAAGCAGTAAGTGAGTTACCTAAGTGAGCCAAGCCTCGTTAATGATGT